TGCGGGGAGCGGAGCGGAGCGGGCGGCCGAGGCCCACTTGGCCTGCGGGGCGCGGGCGCGACGCATCGCCGGGGCGCGGGGCCGAGGCCGCCCGGGACGCCGCCCGGCCGTGTCCTCGCTCCGTTCGGCCGGGGCCTCGTAGGCCGCCCGCTCGCCGCCGCGGATGCCGGGCTGAGGTCGCCGCGGCCGGTCGAGGGGTGGGCGCCGCGCAGCCCGCGCTGGGGGTCGCCCGGGGTCGGTGCGACGTGCTGGACCACAGGCCCCGCGCGGCTGGGGCTCATGGGCGCTGCGGGCCCCTGCCATTGCGCTCCATGGGGCTCGTCCCCAGGATCCTCGCCGCCCTTCTCCGCGCGGGTCTGCCTTTCGGGATGACTTAAACAGGATCCGGCCCCCGATGTTTCGAGCCTTGCTGGCTGGGGCTGATGGCCGCTGTAATTCCAGTCCGGCCGTAGGGCAGCGGGTTGGGGAGAGGCTTAACTTTGTACACGGTATTTCCACAGTGCCTGTATATGCTGGTCGATGATAATAAGAGAAATAATAATAATGGTGTCTTTTCAGGGTAGCTAAGTGCTGTGCAGGTATTATGGATAAAGTTAGGATTTGCAGCCCTGCGTTTAGCTGGGAGTAAGCCCCAGTAAGCACACGGGGGCTTGCTTTTGAGTAAGTGTGTGCTGGACCGCTCTCTTGGTGAAGATGGCAGCTGCTCTTTGGGGAGGCAAAAGCAGAGCAATATTAGGGCCCCTCCAAATTTATCGGAATGCTGCGTAAATACTAGGGGTGAGTTTAGGTGGAGCATTGTTACCTGGCTGTTGTAGAAATCATGGGCAGTGGCCGCCTCTTTGGCTTTGCAAGCCTTCTCCTTTATCCAGGTTGTATAATGGACACACAGAGAGCATGGCAACCTTTGCAGGCAGGTAGCGACCAGGTCGGTATTGTTTGAAGGAGGGGGTGACATCTGCAAGAGGGGTGAAGTGGTGGGAGTCAGTACCTGGGGGCAATAGGGGTGTTTTAGTGGAATGGGCTCCTGCTTCAGTTGTGATAAGGGAATCTCCCCAGGTGGTTCTGAGGAGGGTGCAATGAATCAGTGGCTGATTTTACCTGGAATAGCTAGTATTTGGGTGTAGAGGGAGAGAAACGGGTTTATCCCCCAGGGGAAAAATGGGTGGCTTGAGATGCACTTTTAATGGGGAGTGTGTGGGTCTGCTGGAGCAGCAACTGGCAGTGCCCTTGGGGAAGGAGAGCGGTACGCTTGTAGGGGTGTGGGTGGCTCGTTTGTGGCATTAGGCAGAGCAGAGAGAGGTGGCTCGGCCACCGTTTTGGGCATCTGGTTCAGGAAGAAAAACACACAGTGCTGTTGCCTGGGGGGGGCGGGGAAGAGAGGCAAAGAGGCATCTCTGGCTGGCACTGCCTGGGGCTTGGCAAAGGAGGCCCTTGGAATGGGGGACCAACATTTCGGTGTTGCTGGAGGTCGGTGGATGAGAATAGGGGCTGCGGCCTCGATCGGTGAGGGGGGCTTCCCGGCATTCCCTCCCAAAAGCATTTTCAGAATGATGGACCGGGTGGGAGAAGCAGGAGTTTCTGGGAAAGGTGCAGGCTGGCTTGGAAGCTGCCAGTCAGTCAGTCAGTCAGTCAGTCCTATTGATAAGAAGCGTCTTTCCTCTTCCCCAAGCTGCAGCTGCAGCAGAGAGCCTGACGAGGCCCGGCCTGGGAAGGGCATCGGTGTTCTCTCAGGTGTGGGTCTGGAGAGGAGCCCTTTGGGATGATCCTTTCCATGAGGATATGCTTAAGACTGGTGGCCAGGCGGAGAGCTCGTCTGCCTGCCTGCCTGCCTGCCTGCCTGCCCGCCCAGTGGGAGAACTCTCAGCCTGGGCAAAGGTCCCTCAGTGACCAGGGATCCTCTGCACTGAAGCAGGTCCTGGATGTCTTTAATGCTGATGTCGCTGCTGCAGAGAGTGACCATTTTGTATTTTTCAAGCCTTTAGATCCCACCCCCAGTACTTGAAAGTAGGTAGTGCACTAGTGTGGCTGGGCTGCCTTGCCAGGGTCAAGGGGCTCTCCCCCTTTTGCGTGAAAGCAGGGCTCCCTTGGCAAAAGAAAGGAAAGGTGATCCAGGGCCGCGTGGGGGGGGCTGGGCCTCCTCACCAGCTCCTCTGCTTTGGGAAGTGTATTTGCGTGATTTCAAAAACTGG